TCTTCCTGGCTGCCAGGAGGCCCACGGCTGGGCTCCTCTGCCCCATTCCACCATGATGTTCTGCCTGATCTCACAACCACACAGTGGGCCCCGCCGAGCAGGGGCTGCAGCCTCTGAAGCTATGAATCCTGTAAGCATTTCTTCACTCCTTCTGTGGCTGTCAAGTATTTTCTCCCAGGAATAGGAAAGCTGACCAGTACATGGGACAAGGAGAAAGAATGTCCCAGGACGTGTAGTGCAAGGTTAGAAGCTGAGCAAGTAGGAGTGCTTTGTGCTTTCCTGGAACGTTTCTGTAAGGTTGAGCTTACTTTAACAGAAACATTAAAAAGTTTTCAATGTTTAGAGTTCTAGCTAAAATTAGAGCAAATAAAAATTAAAGCAGGAACAGTGCAGAGTTTGTCTTAATGGAACAAATAGTAATTGGAGGGAATGTTATTCTTAAGATACACAGAAAGGGCCAGCAAGATAGCTCAGTGGATTAAGCACCTGCTTAGGCAAGCACAGAGACCAGGGTTGAATTGCCAGCACTAGAGGCTGCCCTGGCCCCAGCCCCAGGTGCACTGAGCCTGCACCGACACCACTTTTGATGGTGCACATCTGTAATGCCAGCTGGGGAGGCTGAAAATAAGAGTAGCACTATGAGTCTGAGCTGTGTAGTGAGACCCTGTACCACATACATTAAAAGAAGGGGCATTTAAAATAAAAAGAAATAGAAAGCATGTAGCACGTTTCCAGAATACAATGTACATGTTCATTATCAACATGAAAAAAGTTTAAGTGAATAAATTGAAATACAGGGGAGAAGATCACATGAAGATTTGTATCCACCATCATACAAATTATGGCATAAACATTTAGCTTTAGAGCACCTGATTACACTATGACCCAACATGTTAGTCTCTGAAATACACCCTAGAAGCACCTCTACCCGTCTGTGCAACACAAGCCTGGCTTTTCAGCCCCATTTACATGGATTAATCTCATTTCTTAGAGAAAAAAGCAATCATCCATCATCTAATTGTGAAAAAAACAACAACCAAAAAAAAAAAAAAAACCAGAATAGGGAATGAACTCAGCTTCACTTATAGAGTTTGCATACCCAAATAACAGAACACTTTTTGATCTAAAGATACGCAAACAAAGCGATGGTCCTTGTTAAATCAGACAAGCAAATCAAGTTTACGTGCTTCCCGAATCTGCCGCTGTGGGCATACTGCCACCTGGCGGCCACTTGCAGCCCCAGCCCTGGAGCTGCTCCTGCGGAGGGCACCTTTACCGTGACACCCTTCCTGTGGCTGGGCAAATGGCTCTGAAGACAATCTTAAGGGTGTGTGCGGGGGTCCAGAAGGGCTCCCAGTGACACTATGTGGGCAACGCCCTACACCCATGAGTCAGCTCATGTAAGGCCATTACCAAGCTGGCTCCACACAGGAAGGGACATTTTCCCTGCAAACAACATTCAAATTATTTCTGTTGACACAAATCAGGCAGAAATCTATCCACACACACAAAATCCAGATGGACAGTGTTTTTCCCCAAGAATGCAGACATCTGGGCAGACACTAAGAAGCAGAACTGTGCATTGTTATGCAGACTTTGGCTGTCCTTGTCTTAGTGCAAAGTGTTTTTGCACAGCATACTGAAGTTGGCAAGATTCCTTCACAATTAATAAAAACTCTTATGTAAAATGCAAATTTTGGGGTATAGCAGAGAGTAGAAAAGAGATCAACGCTCACAGCTAAGGCCTTGGTCAAGAAGCTGGGATAAGGCTGAGCCCCCAAGAGGCTCAGGAATAAGTAAATTGATTAGGTCAATAAGAGTAATTAATATAGGCTGAGTTCTGAGCTGCTGTGTGCCAGCCACGGACACCTGTTCTAGAGAGGAAGACAAGAAATTACTACTTCAGAAATTCCTGGCTTTAAGGACCAGCCAAATAGCTCAGCAGATTAAAGTGCCTGCAAGCAGGCACAGGGACCAGGGGTTCGACCCCCGTGGCTGCTGTGCTGTCCCCGCCCCTGGGGCACACTGAGATGGCAATTGAGACTGGGCGTGGTGGTGCACACCTGTAATCCCAGCTCTTGGGAGGCTGCAAACAGGTGGATCACTATGAGTCCAATCTAGTAGTGAAACCCTGAACACCCTGTAGACCCTTCCCTGAAACACAGGGAAAAGAAAAAAAAAGAAATTCCTGGTTTTATAGAGATACAGAGGTTCAGATTCGGCAGATGCAAAGTGAAGCCACTGCTGACCTTTTACAGACCCAAACTAGATGGCAGCAGCAACGCTTCCGAGGTGCTGAGCCCCTGTACTCCTGAAGCTTTGCCAAGGAGTACGTTAACAATCAGTCTTGAGGACGATGCTCCAGACTGCCCCTGAGTACAGAGCCATGGGCACAGTGATTTACACACCCTCAAAGGCCCCTGACACCTCAGAAACTTACAGAATGGGGTGGGGAGACCTCACACGCTCCAGCAATTTCCAATCAGACTAGCCATGGGGCACACTTGCTGTCACTCCGCGTTAGTTATGACAGTTTTGGGAAATGCGCCATAGTTTCCAAGTCAGAGCAGCATCCACTGACAGCCCAGAAACAGTCACCTCAGAGAGACCTGCCCTAACAGCCAGGTTCTCCAACTCCAAACAACAATCAGCAGACCTGCTGGACCTCTCCAATGCCCCAGGGGGGCCCTCAGTGGTGCCCCGCAGTCTTGTCCCCTCACTCACTGTCCACATCGAAACTCAGGCATGAGAGGATCCTCCCTGGGTTAGGACAAAGGTGGTCAGATGGCTCCGCCTGGGAGACAGCGCTGCTCTGAATTTGTCCCCTACTCAGTAGCTTTCTGCTGAATGAACTACCTCACCACCATCAATTTCACTACTATACAAAAAGAACAGCTTGATATTTGCATACAAAATCTGGTCTTAGGGTTTGTTTTTACTTTGTTTTACAATTATAGCTAGGCTTCTTTTCTTAAAAAAATGTTTTAAAATCTTTTTTTTTAATTTAGTACAGGGTCTCACTGTGCAGCTCAGACTCATAATGATCCTTCTGTCTCAGCCTGCCCAGTGCTGGGATTACAGGAGGCCAACATCCATACCTGGTTTTTGGGCCAGCACAGCACACCTGGGGTTCTGGAGCCTATGGTGCTGGGGATTGAACCTGGGTCCTTGTCCTTGCCGGGCAGGCACTTAGACCACAGAATTATCTCCCTAGCCCTAGGCTTCTTAGTTTCTTAGGAAACTAAAACCTAAAGTCCAGATTAATATACGGCACTAACTTTCTAGAATCCCTTCCAGTCTAGCTTATATGAAAGACCTACTGGGCTCACAACCTCAGGAAAGCCCACCTCAGCCTCTCTACTTTCTAGTCAGAACACGTATGTTTTGATGCAGTCCCCAACCTTCTGGCCCACAGACTTCCAGCAGCAGGAGCCAAGCATGGTGGCCTTTCAATTCAGGAGCAGCCAGCACCGCCTCACAGGAAAATGTCTGAGAAAGAGGAAGACTCCTGACTTGAATGCCAGCCTTCCAGCTCCAACCCGCACTTTGCATAGCCTGTGCTTGCTGGGGACAGCCTGGCATGGATCAGCATAGCCAGAAAGTGACCACAGGCTGTCCTTCCCTGGGTGGAAGCCTGAGAAGACATTTGGCTCAATCGGCAGGAAGGTGGCTCCCTGCAGATCTGACCCCAGGGCCCGGCCTCTGGAAACCCCAGCGCTCAGCCCAGGGTTCAGGGGCAATTTGTTTCAACATGGGGCAGCCTGAGGGAGACTGGGATGCCAGTCCCCTCAGATAGTGACTGTGACCACAGAGACACTGAAACAGTAGGAATGCCACCCATGCCTATCTGTGTGCTCTTTGTAAATGTACTCTAGAACAAAACACCCTAAATTTCAGGGAAGCTGTGATGCTGGTGATCCCCACTGCAGTGCCCCCTCAGAGGGAAATCGCCGGTCGGTGCCTGCCAGGGAGCTAGAGTCTTTGGATGAAGATATCCAAATCATTAACATGAAAAAATGGAGATTAAAAGCATTGAGAAATAAAATTAACCCATGAAAAGGGGAAACAAATTCACGAAGCCTGAAAACTCCGAGCTTATCCAGAAGGTGGCATTTCAGGCTCTAGGCAGCGAGGAATTCACCTGCTTTTAGGGCAATGATGTGACCGTAGGAGGGAAACAGCAGCTTGCCGCCTCGAGGTCAAGATCCTTCTGCCTCAGATTCCTGGGAAACTGATTATACGTGTGTCCCTGTGCACGCAGTAATATAAGATTTTAATAAATCCACAGAATTTCCTAGAAATTATATTTTCATTCTAAACTAAAATTAAGTAAATCACACACACAAAAAAACTGCATTGGTAAGTAAAGAGGATTTTATACTGAGAGGAAAAGCTTAGGATGCACACACTATGACCCGCACACCCTCACATAGGCTGCACAGACTAGGGGACCCTCCTTACCTGGGTAATCAGCAAGGTGTCAGCAAGGAATGCCCAGAGACGTCCCGCCCACTCAGAACGGCGGATCCCAACGCACAGAGGGCTTTCCAGAGGACAGTCTAGGGGACTCTCAATCTGGGGAAGCTGGCATTCTGGCCACATTAGCCACCAGGTCAGGAAGTGTCCCTCATTCAGCCAAAGTTGGGTTTGGGAGGGGCTGCCATGCAAGCAAGCGAGCGGTCACTGTCTACTGCTGTTGCCCTAGAGCTGCCCATGCCAGCAGAGCGAAACCACAATGCATCCTGCCTGCTGCCGTCTGGGGCTCTGGGGGACCCACAGGACTTGGGGTGCTCAGAGACCTGCATTAAGGAGTGGCCCGTGGCTACTGGGTTTACAAGAAGCAGTTTAAGGTCTGAATTACAGCCTAAGGACAGTTGCTGCCCCAGAGAACCCGCCTGAAAGGCTTCCTAACTATTCAACCCAGTTTTTCCATAGCACCCTCTATGATACATGCATGCAGAAGCTGCTTAACCATACAAGCTCAGGGTGGCCCCACTCACCAGTCTGCTTATTAGGAAACTGTACAGTTTCCACACCATCAGGGTAGGTCGTGTATATTGTCTGAGCATCCGAGAAGTAATAAATCTGTAAGAGCCAGAAAGACCTGTGTTGGGTGGCAATTTGCCTCATAGGTGCATCTGTACTTAATATGGTAAAGCATTTCCTGAAGGTAGCTGAGGGACCACTTCACAGGTGGCCCTACCCATGACCAGGGGTGCATCACACCCACAGGGCACAAGAAAAGCAGCTGGCCACTGACACCCCAGAAATGATGGCACTGGACTAGTCATGGGAGAAGTTGCAGGACATAGTCTAGCTCTCAGTCCTGCACCTGGGCAGCAGTCTGTGGACTTCAGCGCCTTGGGCCTGTAGCTGGCTGCATCCTGCCTGAAGGGCATGACCTATGAGAGCCACCACAGTGGAGCTCCCACGCTTGGCCCCAGGGCCTGCTGGCAGTGCCAAGAGAAGAAACAGGTGCCCATTGTATTGGATATCCATACAACCACCCTGTCACTTCTGGGTGCTGGTGGCCAGCTCCTCTTCTTGTGCCCTGTGGCCATGGATGCACCCACGGCCATGGTTAGGACCACCAGCCAGGGGGCCTCCATGGGACAGTAACATTTCCAACAGTCTTCAGCTCCCAGCAAAGGAGGAGCTAGGAGGGAGCCTGCAGAGGAGGAAGGTGACGGGGAAGGAGCAGTCGCAGGGAGTGCTCTCCATACTGAGGCTGAGCCCCTCTCACACACACAGTAGGCAGGGGAAATTTGTAAAACACATAAGCCTCCAAAATCAAAAAGCAGCTGAATGTACATGTTTGTCTCCAAAGTAAGACTGTAGTTCAGAAACACAGGCCAATGGAGTGGAATTTCATCACGACTGCAAAGTGAGACAGTGGGAAGAAGGTATTCACTTCTCTCCTCGCTGAGAGCTGCTGGTCACCTCATGCAGGTCTTCTGCATGGCACTTGTGTCCTTAAGAGAAGGGATGAAAGGACACAGGAGGATGGCAGCAAGCCTAGTCGCATGGGAGCTGGTCTGTCTCCACTCGATGGCCTTGTGGGCATCCTCTCCTCACATTTGCCACTGGTTCAAAATAGTAGACTCACCACTCGCTGATCAGGCTTGATCTTCTTCACATCACCATTATAAAACTTGATGGTGGTCGTCTTCTTGTCCGCACTGGTCTCCTTCCTGGTGCCATTGGGGAAGGTGACAATCATGCGGCCATCGCTGAGTGTCTGCTCCACCTTCATGGAGACACAAGATTCCGAGATGAAAAGTATGTGATTATGCAAAGCTTCGCTATTTTCCTTCCACTCCAAATCATTCTGTGCCCACTGCCTGCGTAGCTCTGTTCACACCACTTGCTGCATTTCCACCAAAGAGAAAAGAAAAATCACAGAACCCTTCAGTTGCAAAGCTCCACCCCTGAATTTGTTTTGAATAATAAATAAATTTGTTCCATAAGTATTTTTTATAAGGTCACAGTACACATTTGCTATCATTTGGGATAATTTGTAATCATTGGTTTTGATAAATTTGGAATTCCGGGCTGTAAAATTGCATAATTATTATGCAAAAGCTATCCATTATAGACTTTCTGCTCTTTCTGACCCAATCACTTGGCTAATACAGTATTCTACCCTCGCCCAAAGATTCATTGACACCAACTAACAATCAGAAACTATGAAATTTCATATGCATAATGCTAAGAAAAAAAATTTAGAAAAGACTTTTGGTGCTCAAATCAAAAATATTAGTCAAATTAGTCTTTCCCTAATCCTGAGTTTGATTCCTCGGTATGTCATGAAAAGATTAGCATAAGGAAAAAAATGACAGAAATAAGCTCACTGTTTTGGGAGTTAATACTGTGCATGTGAAAATTAGTAAAATGTATTTTTGTTAAATATACACGTTGTTATTTCTTGATATAGCTCAGAAATCCAGGAGTTAACTCGTCAGAGATAAAAGCGATGCTTTGTTTATGAAATGTCTGCAGCAATCTGACAAAATTTGGTGCTATACAGCCCCGCTGGCCAATCCCACGCCATCCAGTTTGTCAGGCTTGATACAAAATTGCTCATTTTCTTGCTTTTAGACTAGTCAGGTGGATAGAGCAGGTTGCACCCTGTTCAATATTAGAAGATGAATTTTTAACCAAGAAAAATTTCAACAAGGCTTAAGGAACCAATTGTGTTTTGGAAATAAAAAACACACATATTTAAAATATTTAAAATTTATATTTAAAATATAAAGGCCACACTGCGGCCTTTATAACCCAGGGGAATTTGTCGCCCTCGTGTGTTCAGTGGTGCTGGGGCAGGCATACCGCTGCACTGCCCATCACATCAAGGTGCAGCCCATACGACACATGAGCAACAGAATACGTCACGAGGATAGCAACGTTACGGTTCATGTATTTATGTAATAGGCTTTAATCATTATCCTAGAGTGTGCTGCTGCTGCTGCTCTGTGTGTGTGTGTGTGTGTGTGTGTGTGTGTGTGTGTGTGTGTGTTTGGTACAGGGTCTCACTATGCAGCTCAGACTCCTAGTGATCCTCCTGTTTGCAGCCTCCCCAGTGCTGGGATTACAGGTGAGCACCACCACACTCAGACCCAGTTGTTGGCTCAGCGCACCCTGGGGTCAGGGCCCGGGCTTTGTCCTCTGAGCTATCTCTCTGGCTCAGCTGCTTTTTTAAAGTAGTGTAAAAAGTCATCTGGGTTAGTGCATCAACAGCCCTGTGCGTCTTGTATTACACCTTTTCTAGATCACACAGCAAAGGCAGCGTGAGCACCCCCTGACCTAAATCACCTAAAGACAAGGTTAGAATTGGGCCCATCTGTAGTGACCAGAGAGGACTTTTTTGTAGGTTTTTTTTTTATATATATTATGAAATACAAGAGATAAGCAAAGGATTTCAGTACATCTAAAAGAAGACACAAGAGCAGAGGACACAAGATGAGAGGTCAGAGGAGGTAGTAAAGTACCAGGAACCTGAGACAGCGGGGTAGCCAGGGACATGGGCACACAGCCGATGTCCGGAGCTGCAGAAGCGGAGCCTTGTGTTGGACTAGCACAGAGCAGGCCTCCTGCTTCCCGCATCTGCACTTCTGTGCTTCCCACCAAGAGATGGATTCCTCCTGTACTGCTGACAAACCAGCAGCTTCCCCTACTGCTGACCAGGACGACAGGGCCTGTGGAGTGGGGTCCTTCCCCAACGGCCCTGTGGAACAGCTGCGCAGAAAAACCTCTTGACGAGCTCTCCTTATCTGTATGTCTTATCCACTTCCAAGGACAGAAATCCTCCTTTATTGAGATCAGAGTCCACTCAACTAAAGCAGACCAAGGTTGTACTCTTGTTTTTCTCCAGCCATTGCAAAAGGGTCACTGTGTGCGCACTGAGCTGAACAGAGAGCAGGCCCCTCCCTGCTCCACGGGGACTCACAAGCTGCCCCATGCACACAGCTGCTCACGCATCTCTTCAGACCCTCCTGAATCGAGGACAACAGCCAGTAGTAGCACAGATCCTCAGGATGGAGGTGTCCTCCGAGGAGGCAGGGGCTGGGAGACACTTGGGGAGACAGAGGCAAATGTTCCTGTCACAAAGAATGCTACTTTCTCTAGCCCTGGCAGATGCTTGCAGGCCTCTGAGTGGGAGGCCCAGGATAGCCTAAGCAAAGAGTGGGAGCATGAGAGCCGCAACTGGGGAAGGAGTGCTGCACATGCCTACCTTGCCGCTGGCATGTCGTTTTTCCTGTATTCTCGCCTTCTCTGCAGGGATGTTCGGAAGGCACGCTGCTTCTTGGGAAGGTCCTGGCTCTGTGGTGGGAAGACGCTGCAGAAATAGTATAGTCATGGCTCTTGTGGCCTTTGTGAACATTGTAGGGACAATTAGCTTTGGATATTCTGTTTTGTTTTTCTGGGCTGGGGAAGGAACCCAGGGCCCTGGGCATGCCAGACACATGCACTGCCCCTGAGCAATGCCCCAGTCCACTCTGTGTTTTAGGAAGGTGCTTCTCCCACTTGTTCTCTCAGTGTTGGCCAGAAGGAACATAGCAACAACTACTACACCCAAAACTTTGTTCTGAAATGCAGAGCACCAAGGCCTTGAGTTGAAACCATTAGCAGCTGGAATTCAAAAATTTAAAGCCCGGAGACAAAGGTCACCAGCATCCACCTAAAGATGACAATGGAGAGGGTACAGTGGGTGGGTGGTGCAGACTTTTATAGAGAGCAGAAAACAAGTGGGGCCCTGCCCTGGTATTTCCACACAGCCACCAACGTTTACAGCATCTGTGCAATGTAAAAATTCCCTCCTAGGGGAAACTCTACCCACTTCATTGAGATATTTTATTAAATATAGTATATAATAAGCAGACCAGTGGCAATGGTTTAGGAGTATTTCTGCTATAGTTGCCTTTGGTTTCATTCATTTCCATTCATGATCATAAGTAAATATAACAAAATCTTGATTTGGGGAACTCTTAAGTCAGGAAAAATGTCAGTCTGGTTTTGGCCATGTGCTAAATGCAACTAACCTACATCTACAAGAAAAAATGTCTCTTCTATGTGACAAGCTGAGTGAGCTCAGAGAGCCAGGAGGCACTTGCTTCATCTTAATCTTCCACACCCATCAGGAAGACAAGATGGCATGCATCGCTGGCCACCACCTCCAGGCTCCCAGGGACCCCAAGCTGCCTCCACGGGGCAACTCCACCCCACCTACCTGCTGCCCCCCGACTTCTGGAGAGGAGCGAGGGAGCTGCCTGGCTTGGCCCTGGTGGGGGAGCCTGGCCTTGGCCTGGGAACAAGGGACCAAAGAACATGTGTCTGAAAGAGGAGAGAAGCTACATGTCAGAAGACAGTGTGTCAGACGCTGAAAATATCCGTATCCCTCTGTCTGATTTAGTTGGGAACATGGTCTCTTTTTCTTATGAGATTACAAGTGCCAGGTTGGTCCCACCCACAGCGCATCATGCAGGGAGCAGGTGCTGTGGGTGAGTGCATTAGCCACATCTCTCAAGCACAGGGTGACTCCAGAGAATGGCTGGGAAGGGAGCGTGGCTTGCCCCTGAAGCTGCTTCTGTCCTGCAGAGAGCAGACACAGGGGAAGGAGACAGGACCCAAGAAGAACTGGGCCACTGGATGTATGAAAGGAGGCAGAGGCATGGGGAAGGAGGGCCACAGGCTTTCAGGAGGGCCTGGAAGAAGCCATGGAGGGTCACCAATAAGTGAGATAGCCAGAGGGCTGAGGAGATGGCAGCAAGCACAGGGCAACCGATAAACTGAAACCTCCCGTGGGTACCATACCACTGTGGAAAGCAAGGGCTCGGCAGGTGGACAAGGTGGCTGTGGTGCACTGATAAGTGGTGGTCAACCTGGAACACCCTGCTGAACTGAATCAGCATGACACCAGGTGTGGGAGCCCCCTCCGTGTCCCCCCCCCCCCAAGGATTGCTGACAGCAGCATAAGAGATAACTGGAGAAGCAGCAGCTAGGCTGTTAGGGGTGCTACTGGGAGCTGTGGGAAGCTGCTGGTTCTCCTGGGCTATTCTGCTGGGGGACCTTCTCACACTGGCTTTTCTGGTGACCTTGATTGTTCTCACCACAGAAGGAGCTCAGGGACCCTGTTGTCTGTCACTGAGGATGGCTGTGAGAGAGCTCTGGTTCTCACTTGGACATCACTTCCTGGCTCCAGGGTAGATCCCTCAGCCTGCCAGCACAGATCCTTTGTTCTGCTAGCATAGACTTTCTAGATTCTACCACTAATTTTTAGGCTTTCCCAGTGCAGATCCATGAAACACACCCACATGAGACATTGTTATGGGCTCTAGACCTCCAGTTGGACACATGGCAGACATTGTTATGAGCTCCAGGTCTTCAGCTGGACTCAAACAGGACATCATTGTGGGATCCAGGCCCTCCACTAGTCCTGAGTCCTTACTCTGTGGACAGATTTCCTACACTCTTGGTATTTGATTCATTATAACATCATCCTATAAAATATGTGTCCTGTACTATATTGTTTTGTAGCAAAACCCAAAACTACAACAGTGGCTAAGCTACTGAAGATCAATAGGCAGAAAGTCTACACTGCAAAGGGTGGAGTGAAGCTGGGGAATAAAGGTGTCAGGCTGGTGTCCATGAGAACCACCTGTTAGAGGGTAAGAAACATCTGGAAGAACCAGCAGCTAGACTGCACTGCGCAAAGAGAACTGTGGCAGGTTCACCACGACAAGGAAAGAGGATCCAACTCAAGAATCAACACAAAGCAGCTGGGTATTAAGACACTCCAAGGATTTTAGTTTAGTGTACGGGGAGAGACATGGGTGTAGTTTTAGTGTTTGACATGGACAGCCAGTTTTCCCAGCACCTTTGTTGAAGAGGATATCTTTCTTCCAGTGAAGGTGTTTGGCATTTTTTTGAGATGGAGTGGCTGAGTGTGTTTGGAGTTATTGCTTTAACTTCTAGTCGGTTCCACTGATCCTTGGCTGCTTCGCCAGTGCTGTGGTGGTTTTGTCACTGTAGCTTTGTAGTGCATTTTCATATCAAGGATCATGATAACCCCTGCCTTGCCTTTGTTGCTGAGAATTACTTTTGCTATTTTAAGTCAATACTGACTCCAAGTGAATTTTAGATTTGTTTTCTCTAATGCTATGAGATATGCTATTAGAATTTTGATTGGAATTGCATTAAATCTGTATTGAAAAAATGAAGCTCCAAGACTACATATGCTTGCCATGGTGCAGCTTCCTGGACGCATCTTTGTGTCGCAAACGGGGGTGTATCACGGTGAGCAGAGGGAGGGCAAGCCCACGCGCACTCACCCTCCTGGCCGGCTGGTGCCTTCATCTCCTGAAGCTGGATGTTGGAGGCTGGTGCTGATGCTTTCCTGCCACTGGCTTCTTGCAGAGCTCGGGAAGGCTTGTGCACACCCTGGAGACAAGGACGGTCATGGGACTTGCACATCACTTCCACAGAGACAGGTGTTGTACACAGTGAATTTTAGCACCAAACCCTTTAGTACCAGCAGAATTGCACTACAAGCTTTACACCAATACAAAGAGCTAAGTCAATATGATTTTAATGGTGAAAGAAATCTCAAGTATAGAGCATGGTATAGCAAATGTTATTTTTTGTTTTTACTGGGGGTTGAACTCAATGTTCACACTGAGCCTTTTTTTTAAAAAAACTTTTTACTTTCAGAGGGTCTCTCTAATTCACTAAGTTACCCAGACTGGATTCAAGCTTTCCATCTTCCTGCCTCAGCCTCTGTAGACTACTAGCTAAGATTAGAGGTATACACCGCTATGCCTAACTGAGTTTTTGAGCATTATATGTAATTAATTCACAATTTATCTTTAAAGACTTGTGTAAAGAAATTCAATTTTTGTCTACAAAAATGCAGTTATTTTAAGTTGCTGGGCCCATGTAAACAAGCTGAGACCTTTTGCTTGACTTAAGTGGAATGTTATCTGTATAAATCCATGTGCGGCCAATTGCACTGCAGGAGCGCCTAGTGGGGAGTTCTCTACGCTGGTGCGAGCAGCACCAGCTTGCAGACCACCCTGCCACCATCGCCAGCCTTGCTTACAACGGACCTGACCTCCTGCGGGTGCTGTGCCATGAAGATTTTGCGAGCGAGTTCCAAAAGCCAGCTCTTTCTACCTTTGCATTTATTGGCTAACAATAGATGCGGGGGTATTTTCGCATTAAGAGCATCATTAAGCCCAAAAAATGTGAATCACTACACATGCCGGTTATCATGTCATCCCTGTTTGTATTCCTGCAGAGGGACACAGACAGGGCAGCTTCTCTGGAAACAACCCATTTCCTGTTATAAAACCCACGATCTCCTGCAATTCAGGAACTTTGTGATACAGCAGACAGGTCAGGCACCATAATAAGATCAAGTGCTTAAAACTGAACTTAGCACAGTACACGTAAATTGTTTTCAGCCTTTGTGCTTCTCAAAACTTGACAGCTCTGAGGTGCGGATTAGCCACCATTTAGTCATTCCTTCACTCATACACACCTTCAACATACAGTCTAACCACAGGGGCCCAGTGCATCCCCCTCAGTGAGGGTAGGAGAGAAGCACGCATTCTCAAAAGAAGCCAGGCAAACCACACAGATGCTCCTCTGGAGCTTCAGTTGCTGCATCGTCAAAGGATCTGAAAGGACGGGCACAAATGCTTGAACAGGGAGAGTTCAGATCCTGCCTCGGAGAAGCAGGTGTTTCCTGTGTTCCCACCACACTGAGACTGAGACTCTGAGAGACTGTGGGACCCAGCCACCTTCAGATTGTGGCCTCTCTACCCAATTCAGCTCCGTAATCCACTGCCTGAGGAGGACACACAAATGTTGCTTCCCAAGGATGAGGTTGACAGAGCAGAGAAGACAATATCTATCACACCGATGGAGGAGTGTTCCTGAGACGGGCTCCTTTTAACAGGGAGCAGTGCAATAGAGCTAAACAGCATCCTGTACTGCGGCCCCCAAACAAAAGGCATAACCACCACATAGACGAGCCCTGCCCCACGCAGCAAAGGTAAAACATAGAGGGGCTCAGAAAACACCTTTAGATACCTGGCCAAAGAGATTAGAGGTGAAGCGAGGCGCTGCCCCTGAGGACACCTTCTCAGACTGTGCTACTAAGAAGGCCCTCCTAGGAAGACACTGAGTTCCTAAGAGCACACGCTCCACCAGGGAACCAGAATTGTACCCTGAAGAGCTGCGGTGAGGTGGGGTATCATGTTTGGTTGCAAGCCTCCTCTTCCCTCTACAAGTGTATAAACATGAAGGTCACCTTGGAGGAAGGTGCACTTGCAGGGGGCAGTCCGTGTTGAAGGAGGGCAGCACTATAACTCTGGCAACCGATGTGCTGTGGCATGATTTCTTCATCAGCTGATGCAGATGAAGGTTTTCCGAAGGTAGATACTGATATCTAAAAGATAATTCATCACAAATAAAGGGCGAGTTCCCACATGTCCAAAGGAGCAGTAACTATAAAATAAAATCAGATTCAATCCACGCCACTATAATTGTCCTAAAAAATGTGGAACAAAGGCTGGTGAGATAGCTCAGCAGACTAAGCGCCTGCTCAGGCAAGCACAGGAATGGGGCTCAATCCCCTGCGACACATGCTGTGCAAGCCCCAGCCCAGGTGCACCAGGAATGGTGGTGCACTCCCGTAATCCCAGCGCTGGGGAGGCTCACTGCAAGTCTGAGCTGCGTAGTGAGACCCTGAATCAAATACATTAAAAAATGTGGAGTGAAAGGTGGGGAAATGAGCCAGGTTCCCCTCAAAGTAATGCTAAGAATAGACTGAACACCATGTCCAGGTGGTCATGGATCCCGAAGGCCACAGAATAAGCAACCCCAACATCATCCTCCTTGGGTCACATGTGTTCAGCTAAGACTGTATTACAGGAGGAGGAAAACATGACATTCCTTCCAGGGCTGCTTCCACAACTGGCCCAGGGCCTGAGGTGTGGATTCTCAGCATTTGGTTCTGAGAAGAACCAAACTTCTCAGAAAGAAGCAAGTGCTGCTGATGAAGTGAGCTGCTTGAGTTTGACCCAGTGAGTTTCCACCCCTCCTAGTCATGGGGGTAGCATTTGCCTTCACTCTACTCCAGGGCTACCAGCCATCAGCTGTGTACTTCACGCTGTGTGCCCACATGCGTCACTCTTTTTTGATGTTTACCATAAAACTGTGTCTGCAGATATATTTAGACCTAAGAGTGCAGGATTCCCCGCCCTGATCGTTTTCCTTCAAAGCAGCTTTCTCTTTCTGAGAACATGTGCTGTTCTCATAGCTAGCCCCATGCTGAGAAGAACCCTCTGCAGATTTGTGAACATTTACAAATTTGTCAAGAAATGATTCAAAGCAAGAGAACAATTGAAACTGCGAAGTTAGCCAGAGGCACACGCCTATAATCCCGCATTCTGAGAGGCTGAGGAAGGAGGATTGCAAGGTCAAGTGTAGCCTGGATGACTTAGAGAGACCCTAACACAATATTAAAAATTTTAAAAGACTGGCAATTATAGCTCAGAGCAATGGCACTGGGTTCAATCCCCAGTACTGCAAAAAAAAAAAAAAAAAAAAAAAAAAAAAAAAAAAAAAGCAAACCAACAAAAAGCAAGCAAGCAAACAAAAATCTGCAGTGTGGTGCAGAGTGGGTGAGATTTCTCTATCACCTGGGGTATGTGTTCCATAGCACCTCGACCACACACAGTGACCAAGTGGAGTGGCAGGCTGGTTTGTTGGGAAGTGGTATCAGATATGGCACAAGACTCCTAACAGCCTCTATTAGTAGCACCAACAGATTCTTGAATCATCGGGAGAGCAGGTTCGATTCTGACCCACTAGGCATCTCTGAGGAGTAGGATGTCCCCGATCCATGGCTTCTGTGAGAGACCCTCTTGACTGTTCCTAAGTGCTGGGCAGTGAGCAGACCGCAGGGCCTTCACAGCCCACGGGAGGGCTGTGTGTGTGTGTGTGTGTGTGTGTGTGTGTGTGTGTGTTGTCTGTAATTGCATATGATTATGCCATGAAAGAAATACCCAAAGTCCTTGAACTATACCACTTAGGATTTCACGTAGCAAGTGAGACAGAAAATGCTAGTTCTTCTCTTACCTCACCAGAAACTACCTGACTCATACCAGGAAATGTCTGCATGGCTCCACGTATCAGCATCAGTTCCTGTGGTTTTACTGATATGAGCACTTCAGGTTCACATGTGAGAAATAGCACTGGGACAAAGCAGCAAAAACACTGGCTGCACGAAGGCTCTGGGGCACATAGTTAGTCACACAGCCCAGCCACGGAGGCCAAATGTCCACGACAGCGGGCAGGTCGCTGCAGGGCTGACAGCGTCTCAGACAACACTGGTTCCTAATAAGGGATGAGGTGGCAACTGTCCTGTTTGTCTAAAGACTTCCCAAATGAGAGCAAAGGAGAAAACCGAAAAGACAACAGCTTTACCTATTTTTTCACCAAGTGGTGTCCACTGTGAATTATCCCAACCTGTGTGACTGGTAAACATGGTGGGTGGATTGTTGTTATATGATAAAATATTGCTATGGCAAGAGACCAGAATTCTTTTCCTCTTCTTGATGAGAAACAGCTCATGAGGATGGGGGATGGCAAAATCCAAGCCAGCGTGGCATGAACAAGGGTCAGACTCCAGTCTTTCCATCCCTTAAGCCCAACCCCATGATCACGGCAGAGTTAGTGGCAGCATTAGTACAGGGCAGTGAGCTGGAGTGGAGACGCCTGCACTGGCCATCTGAAACGCCATCCAGGCCGCCCCTATGGCCATTAGAGCTTGCTCTGTGTCTTGGAAGACTGCATGTGGGCAAGGCAGGCCTGGTGGATGCGATCTGGCTGTTGGGATCCAGGAAAGCCTGGCCTGGCCAGGACTCACTCCACACTGCAGTGGGGCCTGGAGTTGACGCAAGATAGGGCAGCAGCCCTCCAGGGGCAGCACCCCACCCACAGGCTCTCTTTGACACTATCTTACATAATACAAAGGACTCACTGTGCCTACCAGCTCATGTTTTCTGAAGGTCATGGGAAGCAAGGCTGCAGGCTTCTCGGTGGCTGCAGGATCCTGAGGTCCACACGCCTGCAGTCCCTCCCGAAGTGCCAGATTCTGCTTTGTCAAAACATCTATCTGGTCCTGGAGTTTGCTATGAGCAACAGACCACTGTGTCACCTGCCTCCTGAGTTCACCCCAAAGGGCAGAGACCTGCTGCTGTAACTGCTGCTGTGGGGAGAAAATATGGAGGACCTCAGAGAGTCGGCATCCCGCCCAAACCCCTTCCCATGGAAGCCTTCCCACATGACAGCAGGGAGAAAATGGAAAGGACAACAGCTTCACCTATTTTTTCCAGTGGCATCGACTGTGAATTATCCCACCCCATGTGACTGGTAAGGGTGGTGGCTGAATTGATACCATGTGTTAAAATATTGCTGTGGCACAGGCCAGGATTCTTTTCTCCTTGATGCTATCTTCATGGAATCGGTGTGGGAAACAGACTACACTTCCCCAGATGGGCCTTCTTGGCCAGGGACGTAGACCTGCAGCAAGCGAGCAGCAGCAGGTGCAAAGAGCTCCTGTCCCTGTATACCCGGAAGCGAGGCACAGCGTCGCAGGGCCAGAAGCCGCTGGGCCCCACTGGGTGATCCGCTGAGGACAGCCTCAAACCTTCATCCTGGAGACGGTCTCAAGGATGGACACAGGCCAGCTGGGCCGGGCGCTCTTGTTTTCCCTCCCATGAATCACCATCTCCAGAGACTCACATTCCTTCTCTTCGTTCTGCCCAATCTCTAAAACTCCGGCACCTCTCTGAGGACCATGCATTCCCTGGGGATCGCCCTTGTACACGTGAAATAACCATGCCTTTAAACCTGCGTGTTTGCCTGGCTGGTCTGCCCCTTGTACAGGATCCGCTCCAACTGCCAACCAGTGATGGTTAGGAAAACACTGCTTTTCTTTCCTAACAGTATTTTCCTTTTACAGAGATTGTCTCCCAAAGCAACAGCGTCGCATTGCGAATGAACTAAACTTTAAGGGGAAAATAACGATTTGAAGTGAAATTAGCAGACATATTATTCTCCTAGTTAATTCCAGAAAGAGTGGGAAAGTGATTGCATTTTAATTCTAAATTAAATTCACATTCCTCCTCATCTCCCCCAAAAGTGTCCTGGTGATCTTAAATTGGTGAAGACTGATGACAGGTTGCAGAAGGGTATGGGGATGTGACTGGTGACCAACCAGAGAATTAGGACACTCTGTCAATTCAGTCCCCATCATTTTTCCTATGTGAAATTGTTTTTGTTATTATTTTGTTTTGTATCAGCATCTCTTAACTGTACATATGAATGGGGCTCAGTGTGGTGTTTTCACACGTGTGTGTTCCTTCCACATCAAAGCTGCAACCTGGGTGCTGCCAGAAAAGGCAGGGAAAGTCCAGAAGCACAGTAGGACCCCAGAGGGTGGACGAGTGAGATGTCCCTGGGTATCAGCAGAGGGGGACACTGCCCTTCCAGAACCAGGATGTGTGCGCTGTGTGGAACTCACAGTGACTTCTCACAAATCCTAGCAGACTAGTGACAGTGGAGGGGACAATATTCTATCAACTGAGAGCTGAATTCCGACTTCATAGTTAAGTTACAAGGATGCATGGAAAGTATGGAAAGCACCCCCCACACCTCCTCCTCCGCTGCCTGAATCCTACTCACCAGGGACTTGCCCTGAGGCAAGCTCTGAGCCTCCTGCTCATCACAGATGCCTGTGTGCCACAGCTATGAGCCCTGTAGGGGTGGCACTCTCCAACTGGGGACCGCAGCCAGACCCTAGCAGTCTGTTCTCAGGGCCAGGGACATTGCTGACCCTAGGCTGGGTGGCCCCTTTGTTGCTTTCTGCTGTCATTGGCTCATTCACTGGGGACTGTGCTCGCTCTCTGGGTCCCTTCCATCCCCTCCAACGCTTGCTGTCTGCCATTGCAGCCAGGAACTGAGAGCAGAAAGTGGCACCCCGCGGCCCGCCACTGCCTGTGTGCTATATGTTTGGATCTCCCTGGTTTGGGTCAGCCTGAGAAGCCAGACAGAGGCTGAGGCTGGGGCTGTGAGGGAAGGGAAAGCAGCTGAAGATAAGAAATCCTCCTTGACAGCAACAACACAGGCTCCTCCGTGCTCCTCCTTGAGCACACGCAGGGCCAGGTGAGGGAGGAAGGCTGTGCTGGAGACTGCGAGGTATCCATGAGGAAGCCCCTCCTCCAGGGCTGCCTGCTCCAAGCAGCCCTCAGTAGGGCTGTGATACCTGTCCCCTTCTCTGTCCTTCAGGCCAGTCTGGAGCAGCGTTCTTACAGAGTGGACAATACCATTCTCCCTGCTCACACATTCCACCGAGGGCCACACACCAGTGGTCCCCACTACCCCTGCAGGCCAGGTGGTTCATCTTGCTGTGCAGGGCTCACTATGGGGGCTACAGGGTCACAAGCCCTGGCTTTGTGACCTAGCAGGGCATTCAGCTTCTTTGTGGGCAAGATGCAATCTTGCCAGAGTTTGTGTTGTGCAGAGCTGATGAAGCACATTGTCACATGTCTGGGTGAGGCCTGGTGTCATGGACACTGTGAGCATGGCCTCTTAGAGCCACTGCACCACAGCAGAGCCCTGGATGTGAATGGATGTGCTTTACTGGGAGACTTCCGTGGGACCACGTGGGGGCTGCAGCCTTGTTCCAAGAATAAATAGTGGTGGGGAATTGGGGAGATGGTGGTGCAGGCCAGGGGCTTCAGGGAAGCAGAGCCTCCAAGTTGGCCAGCATGGTTCAAGTCATGTGAACTTTCTGGGTTCTGTGCATTTGGCTTCAATATTTTTTTTAAACCAATCTTTTAAAGCCCCATGTACCAGAGAAAAACCGATATATTCACATTTTCTTTAACTTCTCACCCTGCCTCTTCTCCATCAGAAAAGAAAGTCACAGAGGGGGAAGAGCCACATGTTCCTCCTAAGAGGAAATGAAATGCTGGCATGCAATGGAAGAACACTGCTGAAATGGTCCTGCAGGACAACCAAAGTAAGGGCAAGTGCCAGTGTCTGCTCTCAGACTGGAAGCAGGGTCATCCCCAAGAGCCAACCTCCCGCACATGTGCACCGACCCCGCTCACCAAAGCCTGCTCACCAGCATCTGTTCTGCCCAGTACTCCTCGCAGGGGACCCTGGCTGTGGTGTCCTCGGAGCTGCGCCTGGCTCCGGGGCCTGGCTCTTCTGCCTCCACTCCCTCCCTGGTCTCCAGATGCCTGGTCAGCATTCTGGTTGAGAAGGAGAAGAGTCAGCGTGCTCCCTGGTGTTCGCACTCTGCCCTCGGTAGGACTAATGTCCTTGCCATGTTCCTACTGAGAGCAAGCATGAGCAAGCCCTTCTCTGGGCCTCCTAGTACCTGACTGTGTACTCCGTGCCAGGCCAGGAACACAAGGGCCGAGCTGCTTGCTCCCTAGTGGCCTGCACCCAACGTGAGTAGAAAGTGCTCGCATCTGTAGATGACCAGCGTGACCTGTCTGAGTACTCTTAGACATGAGCAGAGGTCTCAAGGGGACACTGAGGAATCCTTTTCTCCTTCATCAGGACCCCCAACTGAGGCAGATCCAGACCAGGGCCTGTGTGGAGCCACTTGCTAGAGCCATGATGAGGTCCCCCAGGAGACCTCTGCATCCCCTGAAGGTGAAAGGAACATTCCCTTCAGCAGTGCCAGTGTCAGCCAGGCAGGGGGCACACATGGCTGTTAAACTGAAGCAAAGCCAGGTGTGGGGGCACATGCCTGAAATTCCAGCCCTCTGGGAGCTAAGGCAAAAGGAACACACTAAAGCCCAATCTGTGTGATTTAGACCCTGACTCAAAAACTTAAAGAACAAATAAAAGGACTGAAGATGTAGCTTAGTGCAAAGGTCCTTTGTTTGACCACACACACACACACACGCACACACACACACACACACACACACACACACGCACGCACGCACACTCACACACCACTACTCTCCATTTTCTCCTTGGAGACCACTAATGAGAACCACTGTGGGAAGGTTGCAGCATGACGTTAAGGGGCTGAGGTGATTCAGCAGGCAGAGCCTCCAGGAATCTTGGGAATTTGGAAGGGGCTCTTGATCTCAAATTGTTACAAAATCTTTCCTGTTTATAAACAGAAAGGTTCTTTACTTATATTTTGAGTTTCTCATATAAATAAAAGCAAGATAAGCAATAGAGAATAGAAAGTAGAGAGATAGGTCATTTCCAAGTGGGAAGAGAATCAAGAGATGGATGTGGAAGGAAAGGGGAAGGGAAGGACAAAAGAACTGAGATGTGTCACATGCACACAACGCTCCCCAAGAGGAGCATAAACACTGTACACTACAAACATGTACTAACAAAAGTAAGTAAAAAAGTAATAAAGTCAAAAAACAGATATGCTTTTATACATACACTGCGGAGTATATACAAAAAGAAGAATAAATGGTTCAGCCACAGTCAGGGAAAGGGGTTGTTTCCTAAAGAGAGAGATAACTTGGGCAGGAGCAGCAGAGCCTGCTGATACCCTACCTTGGTCGCCTCCTAGGTGGCCTCCTCTGGGTGTCCTGCACACATGGTGGACTGGTCACCTCCCTGAAGGAGCTCACTGTCCTCGGCACCACTCCTAGGCCCCTCTGTCCAGAGGAGACCCTCCCTCCACCTGGGCTGCCTCCCTAGTCCACAGCAGCACCTTGTGCCAGGACACAATTCATCTCTGCAGCCTCAGCACCCGCTCCTGAGCCCCCCACCTCTCATGTCCTGAGCCCCCTTATTGATTCTAAACTGACTTCCTGTCTTAAAGGGCCATACCTTCTTACACAGCTTTTTGGTATTGTAAACAAATGATTAGATAGCTAAAACCTGGGATGCAGGTTCAGTAAGCTTGTTGTCAGTGGAATAGGTATACACAGAGAGAATTGCAGAAGGCCAAATTCTTGCTCCCTATTGGAGAGTGAAAATGTAGCCAGTATCAAGTTTTCTTTTTTAAACTTAATGTAATGTAATTTTGAAGAGTATAAACAAAAGCAAAACAAAGAGCAAAAACAAAGACAGAAACAGGATAACATATGACAGTATATCTGTTACAGATTTTCAAAACAAGAATAGCTAATTAGCAATGGTTGTTATATTATCTATTTTATTGCCAAATCTGTTAATCAGATTAACAGATATAGTTATGCAAAATTGGACAAAAAACTGAATAGTAATGCTTGTTTTCAAGAAAACTTAATTTTTGTCTCTTTAACTTTTTTTTTTTTGTGGTATTGGGGATTGAACTCAGGACCCTGTACTTACCAGGCAAGAGCTTATTCTACTGAGCTATCTCCCCGGCCTAAAAATTATTTTAAAGAGATATAGTAACAATTGATAAGGCACTAGAAATGGTACACATTTAGAAGACCAAGATGAGAGGTATTCAACCATGGTTTTTGTTTTATACACTGCTGTCCTCAATGTAATTGCTTAGATGGCAGATATCAGCATGCAAAGTTAGTGAAGGTGAAAATTCTGAATGACATCAGTTTTTCAATGTGTGGTATGTAGTATGAAATCATTCCTCTTAATGCAGGTTCATATATAAACTTTCTTCAGATGTCAAAACAAATTACTTGCTAGAAAAGATGTTTGTGATCTATGCAAGTTTAAATAGAAGACAAGATCCAAAATTTCCTCCCAAAGGCTGACCAAATAAATAGCTCAGAGGATTAAAGCACCTGCTTAGGCAGATGCAGAGGCTGCAAGTTCGATCCCCAGGTCTGCCGCGCTGGCCCTGCCCCCAGGGTTCCCTGAGCTGGCTGGCCAGTTGAGACTGGGCATGGTGGTGCTTGCCTGTAATCCCAGCACTTGGGAGGCTGTAAACAGGAGGATCACTACAAGTCTGATCTATGCAATGAGACCCTGTACACCCTGTCCTAAATACAAAAAAAAAAAAAAAAATCCTCCCTTCACAGAGCATATCCCCATCCGTTGGCCACACGAGCTGTGCTGAGGGCCTGGGAATGAGCACTGGGGGTCCACCTGGTTGCCGACTCTCACCGCAGCTCTGTAGGTGGAATAGCCCACTACCCAGAGTGAATAGGAGGAACACACGTGAGCATGAGAGAAGTGACTCTTGGTCACAGCGGTCCTAAGGACACAACACTTGGCAGCGTTAGGGACAGGAGGTGCTCCTCCAGTGTGAGAACTGACTCACTCCATGGTCCCAAGTTCAAGTTCTGCTTGTTCCAGTCCCAATAGCCAGGGGAGGCCAAACACCCAGGCCCTGCTTGCTCTCCTGCAGGGTGGTCAGAGTGTTGGACACAGTCCTGGACTGGAGCATTAGAGCCAAGGAGACTCCTCCTCAGCTCAGCTTGCTCCCTCCTTACCATGGGTGCAAGTGGTGAAAGTACCCTTGTGAATGGGCAGGTGCAGCAGTGCCTTCGCAAGCGTCACACCCTACTGTGGGTTGCACTGGTCGGAATGTACCTGGATGGAAACCACCACCATGCACCTCTCATTCCTCTTCTGAATCAGAGACCAACTCCAAGGTGGGCTGCTTTGGTGGTGACGGTTATCCATTCAAGTTTCCATTTCAAAGAAACGCTTCTGAGGTGATCTCTACCTTGACAAAGGAAATAACAATTTCCTGCAAAAGATCACCCCTGCAAATGGCAATGTGATTTGAGATTACTGGAACAAAATTAGCTTGCAATTTGTCCAATTCAAGACACTGAGGAAAGCAATGGATGACAGATGTCAAAATACTAAGCCCCTCTGTCATCTGTGTGACATATGACCCTCAGGAACAGAATGAGTTTGTATGCAAGTTGCATTCTCTGGCATGTTTATGCCTCTGTGAAAATCATGCAGATGATGGTGCTGGAAAAGTCACTTAGAGACATGACCCTGACTTCTGAGAGCTGAGGATGCAGGCACAGGGACAGAGTCCCAACCATAAAGAGCCTGTTCCTAGACCCTCACACCGAGACAGGTCCAGCTGGAGGGGCTCCTGAAGGAGGCGCAGTTTTCCTAGGCACAGAGTCAAGGCAGCTTTGGAGGGGTGAGAAAAAGACAAAGAACATACTGTGGAGAAAATACTGTTACACTGTGAAGCTGAAACGTTCCCCCAAAGTCTCACGGATGAGAGATTCCACATTCGCTTGGAAGGAGGTTGGATCGCAGGGACACTATGCTCATTAATGTAGTCTTCCACTAGTGAGTTCAGCAGCTGAGTGTGCTATTGGTAAGCTGGCCCTGGTTGGAAGAGGCATGTCACTGGGGGTGAGACCTGGAAGGGCCTGTCTCCCAGGCTGGATGGTCTCTCCCTTCTCTCTCTGCTTCACAACTGCTATGACACTGCACGTTCACCATGCTGTGCCCCTCTGGAGGTCCTTTCTGTCCTGCTATGCTGCTCTGCCATGCCAATTCTGCCCTGCTACGCCCCTCTGCAGGCCTTTCCTGCCCCGCTATATCCCTCTTCTATGCCATTTCTGCTTTGGAACCAGCCAATCGCTGATGGAAACCACCACAAAGTGGCTCTGAGAAGGATTTAAAATCAACCAGTTGGCTTTCCTTCTTAACTTGTGAACCTGTCCAAGGACTAGGCCCCTTGCCTGGACACAGGCAGTGGGCTCACAGTAAGTGCACCTCTGAGTCCCTGCTCCTGACTGAGGCCTGCAGTGCAAAGAACAAGATAAGGCCATGGCTGAGGATACCTGGCTCCAATCCCGATTGGTCACAAAGAGACACAGATGCCGGCTCCACACTCCTACAATAAATGCCAACCTAGAGATAAGGTAGTTTCCTAATTGGCATGCCTTACTACCGAGGGAAATCTTTGAACTGTCTCCCAAAATCTGCTCAGATTCTATCATTTTCTTCAGCATCCCCCTCCTTTGTTTGAAAACCAAATAAAGACAGCCTCCAGAGGACCTCAGATTCTATTAGAGGGTTTTGAACCTCCTGCAGCCCTAATATCATACCACTTGACTCTTTTATTTAAGCCTGAATCTTGTTTGGCCCAATCAGTCCACAATACCTAAGCGATAATATTAACCTACTGGGCCACACAACATAACTATGAGCCGAAATAAATCTGTCCTTTATGTGGCTGGTGTTGGTTATTTTGTCCTGCATAAAGTGACCAAAACAAATGATGAGGAGCCAGAAAGAAAGCCTTAGTGTGAGAGAGCAGGAAGAGACCAGACCATATGGAAGGGGACATCTTCCTCCCAGATTTGGGGATAAAACTGAATTACAAGGTGGGATTCAACTGTGATCCTTTAAATATTCAGACAACCTTGAACTTGATGTGATTAGCAATAGGAACTGTTTTAAGTTAATCATGATGAAATTAATGGATTGTGAAAGATGATTCTGGAAGAAGAATATGAATAATCTGAAAGAGGAAGAGAGGGAGTCCTACAGGGACAATGGCTAAGCCACTGGTTTACATACTGTGTGCACAGTGTCTGTGGTAGGCAGCAGAATCACCCTCACAGATGTTCACACCCTAGCCTGTGGGACCTGGAAACACTATGGCTGGTGCCTTACGAAAGGGATATGACTGAGTTGAGGATCTTGAAGGTTATCCAAGATTATCTGAGTGGCCTAATGTCGTCCCTAGGGTCCTTATACGATGGAGGCAAGAAGCAGAGAAAACATATGAGCACAGGAGCAAGATATAAACAGCCAAGTCTGAAGATTGCAGTCCTACATGAAGATGTAGACACTGCCAGAGCAGTGCTTCGCAAAGTCGGAGTGAAGGTGAGAGCCAGAAACAGAGCAGAAGTCAGACACCACCGGCTCCAGCATGGCTGGTGCTATGTCCCGAATGGAGGGGACTTCGTGGTGTAGGAGATGATGGGAGAACGGGTCATCCTCAGAAGTACAGGAGCTGACTCAGGGGACACAGAGAAGTCTCCCCTCTGCCAGCCATAAGCATTGAGGCTGCTGCAGGCCCCAGACTATAACTGCTGTCTAACACTGACAGATACTGTTTGGGGTTTGGAGGGCCGAGGCCAGGAGCTGACGCCTGAGAATGGCAGACCAGGTGCAGAAGGAAAGAGGGGCTGGTCAGAGACACAACAGGAGGAGAAGAGGATCAGAGCATGCAGGGTACTGAACATAACAGGAAATATGTCAGCAATGTCACTGGCTTTATCAAGAATTCCAGGAAGGTGGAGAAAAATGACACTGACCCAGGGAAATTAGTCACAGAGCCATAAATATCTAGGTTCAGTTTCTTCATCTGTAAAATCAGAGATTTGGGGAAATCCCTTAAGATTTCACTGAGCTCCAGAAAGCTGTCATTCTGTTAGTTAATGAAAAGAAACTTGGTGTTTACTGAGGACCAGTGAGAAAATACATTGAAAATAGTACTTGCCCAGTGCTTCACGAGATACAGTAATAAGAAGAAAACTTCAGTAAACCAGGTCACCACACCCTTCAAACACACTGGAAAAGGTCTCATTTACTTCAGGCAAGATGTTTCAGTTGGGGAACAGAGCTGTGAGTGTCCCCACCTTCCCACCCCACTAACAGTTGCAGGTGAGGGGTGCAGTGGCCCCCCCTGAGGGCCGCGCCCACCAGCCACTCTCTTCCTCCCTTGTCCTTGGCCATAGTGAAGTCTCTCTGCATCAGGTGGAGGTGAGCAAATCCTACCTCTCAGCCTCTGAGCAGCAGCCCGGAATCTCTCCTCAGTCCACAAATGTGGGGCCAACATGAATGTAGCTTCAGCTTTTGTAGGAATGAAGATAAGCTAAGAGGGACATTTACCTGATTGACAAAACATGACTCCTTTCAGCTATCTCGCTGGTCTTCCACTCCTCTGGGAGGCTGCTTTTTAGTCGGCAAAGCCTGACTCATGGAGCGCTGCAGCTAGGCAACCGTAGCCCTGAGTGGCCTTGAGCCTGAGAAGAGAAAGATGTGGGTGACCCAAGTCAGTGTGAGGGCCCAGGCTGGACAGGAGCTGAGCAGACCTGACCTAAGTCAGACTCGCAGGAGGTGAGCTGCAGTTAGAATGAGAGGGGCTCCATTGTGTCTCCACTTTGCAAGCCCCTGGCACAGGTTCTGGGCTACCCCTTGGCAGGCCATCCTGGACAGTTTGCGCGTGAGCCTGGGCTGGGGCCTGCACCTGCTGCTTGTGTCCCGAGTGCAGGCTCCTGCCACCCAAGAGGCACCCTTACTCTTCTGCAACACTTCCCAGGTGCTTTCTTCTTTTAGGCTTAGTGCACCTAGATGCAAAACAAAGAAACTCTAGAATGCCTCTTGTCAAATTATACTTAGCTGTTTAAAAAAGCAAAACAAAGTTAGATTCAAGTGCACCTCCTACCAGCACCATCCCAGCCTTTGTTGCAAAGGCAGTTCATGGGCTTCTTCATAAAGCCAGGGCACATCCATGTGGACATTCTCTGCCAAATGTTCAAGTGCTATGGTTTCCATACTGCAAATACTTCAAAACATACTGATATGAGAAACTAGGGTAACCGATCCCTGGATAAAAGAAAAGCCACAATGCAGGCTCCATGTCTAGCAGCGCCCTAATTAGATTAATCATATGAAATACTGAAAGGAAATTTACTGCAATCTCAGCAAACCCACTACTGCGTCTCTGTAGCAAGATTACAAATGATTCTATCTTAGGTTATGCCTGCCTGTATTTCCTATAACAGAAGACATTATCTTTATAATCAGAAAGTAATTATAAATTTTAAAGTTAAATTTTTAAATTATAAGTTGATGCATAAGAATGAATGACTCTGTTTGCAATAGTCCAGTTAAGAGCAGCAGCAGACGCACGGGGGCCAATAGCCAACTATGTTCCAGTGGGCAGAAGGCCCTTTTGGAAAGGCAGGACCCAATTCAGGGGTTCTTCCTCTTATACCAGAAAACATAGATCATGCTTTAAGGTGACATAAGTATGATAACCTCAAAGACATTCATGTCCTAAGCCCCTGGGCCTACCTGTGAGTGAGTGGTGGGGTCCCCAAGATGTGATTAGGTTGGGGATCTTAGGGCAGGGAGGGGTTCTGCTATGACCCAGTGGGTCTCAATGAGTAAAGGAGGGTGGAAGGGTAGTCAGACTCCAGAATGAAGGGGTGCAAGATCAAAATGAGATTGTTTACATTTTTTCCACCTTGCAGTGCATTCAGATATCTCACTTAAAAGTGCTTTAGGATACTTTCACTTATTCTTCCAAACAACATTACAGAAAACTCTTCAGAATCTACAAAACATGCCACATGGCCTTCCTTTCCCATGCACTCCTGTCTGTATTTCCACATGGACATCTAAGTCCTGCCTGTGACCCCGCTCTAGAAGACCCCAACCAAGATGTGGATTTGCTATTAAAGACCTGCGCCTGCTGACAGCCTCCATCCCTATCCCACTCCTGGCACTCAGACTGCAGCGAATCCCTAACTCCAGGAGTGTCCAGCCACCCTGCAAATGTGGCTGCAGCCAGCGGGTCCTCCTCCTGCCCAGCCGCACCCGAGGCCTGAGCTGTCCTATGTGGAGCAGGACTTAGTGTACCGAGTAAGTGAGTGAGCAAATGGAAATAAAAATTTTAACTTATCCATTTCACACACAAAATATAAACACTGCAAGTTTTGATACCTTACACTGATTTCTCCAGAAGCACTGAGCCTTAAGGAATCCCTCTTTGAGACTGGCCTCTGTCCACTGTGCTGTCACTTTTACTTCTGTTTGTATCTTTCTCTTCATGCCCACAGTGGAAGTGTGTTCTGGGGTTTCCCATGATTTTAAGTTTGAAACTGTAAAGTACATTTGGAAGCAATGAGTAAAGGCTTTTTCTACTAAGAAGCACATCTGGATGTATGTGCAGACACAGGGTTAGAGTTCCACTGCAATCATTTTACTTTTATTTAACTTGTATGTTCCAGGAATAAGTGGCTTTCTAGCATAATATGATTATGTTCAAAATTATTTCTTATATATGAAGTTTTGCCTTAATTAATAATTCATTCATTTAACTACAGTCATACTGTCCTAAACTACTAGACTTGTCTGTGAATGGGGAAATTCTGATTTGCTAAATTCTTTTATTCCAAATCATGGGCTGGAACACACTCTCAGGTTGTCCTAGAACTCTGTCACTCTGTCACTCTGTGTGACTTCCTACCTCTGAGATCATACTTCTCTTTCTAAAACTGATTTTGTCCTAGTTATTTTTTCACTGCTGGTAGACAGTACCAGGTACCCACAAGTGACAGTCTGAAAGATTTGTTCCAGCCCATAGTTTGTAGAGTTTTCAGTCTATACTCAGCTTGTTCCAAGGCAGGGTAGCTGGGCAGAGGGGCAACCCAGAGGAGAAACAGTTCATGATAGAGCAGGCTGGAGCCAGCAAGCAGCAGGTGGCAACTGCAGCAAGTCTTTCCTTTCCCTTTTATCTCTGCAGGGCCACAAGGGCCTCCACGGCAGTATGCCTGCTCGTTATCCAGACCCACAGAGACGCTAACCCAGTAAGAGGACTAACCCAACGATTGCACCTTTTACCCACATTCATTCACCCTCGATCCAGCCACTTTTCCAAAATCCTCCATGAATGCGTGAGGATTGGAGGGGCTATCCAAATACAAGCCATAACAGATTCTATTTTTCCTTTCTTGTTTTCTTTCGGTACTAAGGATGAAATCCAGGCACACGAATAAAGAGCTTTACCACAGAGCCTCCAGCCTATGGGTCTACTTTTCTTGGAATGTCATTGTTTCTTTCTCCTTAGACTCAACCTCCCCATGGCCAGAGGTAAAAATAAGAGAGCAGGAGTAAGAGGCTGCAAGGCAGACCTAGGCAGAGCCAGCTGGAGTAGTCAGACTTCCCAGAAGCTGGAGGAGCAACAGGCAGTGAAGAGGTTGGTGGTGGGTAGGCGTGGAATGAGTGAAGGTGAAAGGTGACACAACCTCCAGAGTCAACGTAAAGGCCACCATTCGGGCAGCTGTCAAAATGCCACTCATCCTACACGGGGGCCAGCAGCGTTCCCTACCCTGAACTCACTTGTCACCGCTGACTTGTGTTTTTCTCCTTTCCCACCTCATTGTCATGTGCACCACAACAACTGCACCTTCTCAAGGGCCCATCCACCACGATCTAGGCCTCCTAAAGTCAATAAGTATCATAAGTAGCACAAGGCTTTGTATTCTCAGCACAAAATGAGTCGCCCTTCATAGTCTCCAAGTGCACTGAACAGAGGACTGTGGAGACTATTCCTGAGTTGTCATCCCCTGAGCCATGCCTTCATGTACAGAGATGTGATACCCACGCCCTTGGAATGTCACACCTGATAGCAACATCCTTCTGTGTCTGAGGTTATACAACAGGCAGCCAACGACAGCTTGCATAGGGGCAGTGGCTCTAGATCACAAGGTGATACAGTGGGCTTCTGATCATGCAGGATCAGCTCCACCACAGACAGACTGGGACAGGGTCAGCACAAGAGTGGTCAGCCATGCCAGTGGACAGGGCCTGACAAACCCTGGATTCTGAGCTCAACTTCCCAGCTAGCTATATTCTGTGTCAAACAGGGAAATTGAGGAGCTGTCCCAACTCCAGGGAGGGGACGTGAGAGCTCCTGCTGGACTGTGTCTACACCTGTTCTATGTAGCTGCACTTGGCTGCCTCTGCCCTGTGTCTTCTCCCCATAATAAACAGTAGCTATGAGTAGCGTTGATGGCTAAGGTGCTGGTGTCAAGTGTTACTAACTTTGCAAAGGTATAATAAAGGACTGTTTCTTTGTGAAAAAAGAGAATATATATATTACATATATTAGGATAGATATACAGCTATTTTCTCTTAGTTCATTGAGAATAAAAGCTTGTACTAATATTGTTTAGACAAGATATCCTGTCTACATCTTCTCCTCTGAATAACTACTATGAAAACAACAATATGCAATGTATTAATTATTGTAACTGTCCTACTAACCTATTTTTAAACTGTTTCATCACTATTTTTTTTCTCGTTAAAATGAACAATAATAAAAAAGAACACTGTGTCTCATGGAAACTACAGTATCCCACTAGGGCTGGTCACCTTGCAGACAAGTAACAGGAGAGTGTAAGTCAGAGCCTTACTCAGGGTCTCAGTTACTCTTCCCTCGTTGCTGGGACAAATACCCAACAACCAAAATGAAGGAAAGAAGGATTGATTTAGCTCACAGTTACTGGAGGTTTCAGTGAGTACTCAGCTGCCTCCAAGGCAGACTGGCCCATGGCAGAGAGAACAGCTCATGATGGCGGCAGAGAGCAGGCACAAAATGGAGGAGCAGCAGCAACAAGGGCAACAGAGAGGAAGTCTGTCTCTCTGTCTCTCTTATATTACATTCAGGCTATCTTTCCCAGGCTGGTGTATCACTCACACCCATAATCCCAGCAGGACTCAGACCCATAATCCTAGACTGGGATCATCCATAATCTCAGTGGATTATGAGCTAATCTCAAACTCTAGAAGTCACCACCCCATGACTGCATGAAGCTTTGGGGGGGTGACACCTATACACAAATCATAACACTCAGCTTGTGAATATAGCTACCTTTCTGCTTGTTGTCAGCCAGAAAAGAAATGCAGAAAAAGAAAAACACACAGAATTACATTTCCATGTTGGCTTAAAGCAATAATTCGGTCTTCACTTAAAGTTAGAAACAAATGTGTTTATCAAACAACGTGTGCACAAAATCATAAAGACTGAAGTGAACTCAGTGTACTAAGAAGGTGGAGTATTAAGTAAACAGCATGGGATAATAGGTTTTCTGGGGATAAGGCTTGATATGGCAATGTGCATAGGAGAGAAGCTCAGATACCTTAAAACAGGTGACGTGAAGAACAATTCAATGTCTTTCAAAGGCAGGAAAGAGAAATCAATGTGCTAAGAAAAAGAATTTCTCTTAGGATGGAAAATATTTGTTGGCAAATACCTATGTTGCCAGTTGAGCAAAGGATTGATTTTGAGTTATTTAAACCAAAATCTGGAATTATAGTTCTTAGTGACTGTCAAGGTTTTCAGTGCATTGAGATAAAGATTATTATTATTTTTTTTTTTTTTGCTACATCTGTGCAACTACCCTTCCTGAAGGATTGAATTGGTTACCTGCTCCTCTGGCTGTCACTGTGTGAGGCAACATGGTCACCAGCTGCCCCTCACCTGTAGCTCAAGGTTGCATGCCAGCCTCTCATTCTGAGGAGCTGTTCTGGAGAGAAGCCTACCACGGGAGGACCCTTGGTCATGATAGGTGCCAGAGCGGGGTTTGCCTGATTGAGATGTTGGGAAGACTCTCCAAAAGAGCATCTTCTTAGAAAATCAAGAAGCAAGGGAACTTGCATCCCCCAGAGAGGGAGGGTGTGATTGGAGGCCTGGGAAGGAAAGTGCCTGGAAGAAGTGAAGTAGGAATACACACCAAGCCATCACATAACCAGGGACCCAGTGGGTTTCCATCAACATGGTCTTTCGCTGAGCTCAGAAATGAAGTCTGACTCCCTGCACTGTACATAGGGCGAATGTGGAGCAGTGTGCTCTGGCTCTGAGCTGAGAGGGTCCTGGCCCCAGCACTCTTTGGCCTGTGACCCTCCCCAGCCTCCTGCTCCTGCTTCTCTTCCTCCTTCTTCATTTTTCTCCTTTTTTGAGGCAAGATTTCACTATGCGGCCAAACTGGCCTTAAATTCACTGTATACTCTAGGCTGGCCTCGAACTCACAGCAATCCTCCTGCCTCTTCCTCCTGAGCGCTGAAAGTGTACACCACCACACCAGGCTTCCATTTCTACTATGGAGCTTAACACTGCATCTGCTGCCTCTTGTTGCTGAATATTTCCTGAGGTAAGTTAGCTCTGCTCACTAAATTTTCTCAGCACATTGGGGCCTTGGCTCTGGGGCCAGTGATGAGAACTGAAACAGGATCTCTCTTTTTTAGAGTAAAACAAAACATAGCAAAAGTGTAAGGGACTTCCCTCCTCCCCTGATGATCCTCTTTTCTCAAGCAAATTTTGGGCCACCCTGAACTCAGTTCTATTGCTGGTTCAGAATTTTTTCTCATAAAGAAAATACAGACCTTGTCTGGTCTCCTTCTCTTTAGGGGAAAGAGTGCAGCAAAGTCTACTCGCCGGTCACTCTGCTGAAGTTTCCCCAGCACTTGGTCAGGTCATGGTGCTCCCCAACTGCTCAACCACCAGCCCCATGGTGGACACAGCTGTGGGCACCCTTCTGGCCCTGGAGTGTGGGCTGGGCCTGCCAGGCAATGCCATCGCCCTGTGGACCTTCTTCCGACTCAAGGTGTGGAAGCCTTACGCCGTCTACCTATTCAGCCTGGTGGTGGCTGACCTGCTGCTGACCACCTGCCTGCCATTCTATGCCACCTTCTACCTGACTCACAGGGACTGGGGCCTGGACCTTGACACCTGCCAGGTCCTGCTTTTCCTGCTATCCTTCAGCCGGGTGGTGGGGGTGGCCTTCCTGGCTGCAGTGGCCTTAGACCGTTACCTGCGTGTGGTGCACCCTCGGCTCAAGGTCAACCTTCTGCCCCTGCAGGCGACCTGGGGCATCTCAATCCTTGTCTGGCTTCTCTTGGGCGCCCTCACCTTCCACAGCCAGTTCATCTCCACACCTGCCTGGAATGCTGCCAAGTGTACCAGCTTCTATCCTGTGGCCAAGACCTCTGGCATCACCTGGCAGGAGGGTTTCTTTCTCCTTCAGCTGCTCCTTCCCTTTGGCCTTGTTGTGTTCTGCAATTCAGGTATCCTCAGGACCCTTCAGAGGCGACTGCGAGAGCCTGCCAGGCAGCCCCAGCTGCAGAGGGCCAAGGTGCTGGTCGCCGTGGTGCTGCTGCTGTTCATGCTGTGCTTCCTGCCCAGCGCGCTGACCAGTATCCTGGTGCACATTCTCAGAGGCTTAGGCCACTGTGGGGTCCTGCGTGTGGTGGTGCACATGGCCAACATTGCAGGCAGCCTCACCTACCTGCACAGCGTGCTGAGCCCCGTGCTGTACTGCTTCTCCAACCGGGCCTTCACTCACTCCTACCGCAAGGTGCTTCACAGCATGCGGGGCCGGAGCAGGACCACCAGGGCCCCCAGCATTGACAAGGACTCCTGCTCCTGATGCAGCTGCTGCCTCTGCTCCTGCTCATGCAGGACTGCCTGGGGTTTAAACAAGGACCCCTACAATTTGAGGACTGCAGAGGCAGGGGGATCATGGACGTGCTAGAGCTACTATGGTTGTGATGTGCATTCTCAGGACGGAGCTCTGCTACTTTGCAAGCAGTCAGCAACCAGAGCCCACTTAGTGCAGAAGCTGGGCAACTTCCCTGTTGCCAAGTGAGAAGCCACACTTGGAGAAGCAGAACGGCTGTGTCTATAAGAAAGAGAGGAAGGCTGAAAGCTGGTACTTCCTAATGCCATGGGCCTCGCAAGTCATTTTCACTTCATTTTTTAATTGTTAAATTGTATATATGTTTCTATTGGTATATATTTATGATACATGATAATTCAATCATCTTGGGAATTTGGCACATGTACATATTATATCTTGATTATTTTTATTTTTTGTGCTTCGGTTTGCCACTGCAGTTAGCTGTACTTTCTGTCTACCTACTGCATAGACTGTGACAACTAATGCTGGCAACGCCCAGGCTCTGAGGAGCTTTGAACTTACCTATGTTATGACAGTTTGTGCTCCGCTCATTTTGTCTGTAAAATTTCTGTTTCTATAAAAATTCACTTCACTTTATAGTTTATCCATTGTGTTGAAGACAGGGCATTTAATTCCCTCATTCAATAATAAAAGCAAATACTTTTCTGCTAAATTTCTCAAAACAGCCTCTTACTTCTTGCTGAAGTTTCAATTTCAAAATACTTTTAAAACTGGCTTCCACCCATTGAAGGAAAGTCTCCCAGGAGAAATGCACAAGTAAACTATGGACTTGCATTTAAAATGATCAGCTCCAGCCTGATTCCCAGCATGACTTACAGAGGCCGCAGGAATTGCCAGACTAGCAGTCCCCCCAGGAAGAGGAGGCCATGGTGTCTGGCTCTCACCCTCTGAGGCCTTTGCAGTGCTGTGCTTTTTCATCTCATCCCTGGGAGACTATGCCCTGAACTTGTAGCTCAGCATGATAGCATAAGACTTCCAAGTTACCTTCCTGTCTGCCAAATCTCCAGCTCTCTGCTTATACCAATTAGTATGGGCAGGACAAAAAGGAACCTCCAGTGCTGGGCCAGGTGGGCAGTGGCTCCACCTTCCTCCCACGTACGTGCCCCACACTGTGCCATCCTTAGAGTCAACACTGGTGGCACTGGCCTTAAGAAATGTCAAGCCACCTCCCACCACAAGGCCCTCTCTGAACAGGTAATTCCTAATCAGAACTCCATTTGAAATGCTGGCAGCGTATGTTCTTCCTCTTTGCTAGGAAGTGTAGAAAAAGGGAGTGTGCTATTTTCTTGGACCAACCGCTGTGGAATATGCACTCAGTTAGCAATCCTCGTTTCCCTAAGAAAGCAGAGTGCCAAAGGGCGGAGAAGGAACCTCGATCAGGTGAAGACACAGGCTCTGACACGCCTGCTGACTCCCCTTCCAGATGAAAAGATGTACCCCATTTCCCTTCCCCAGACCTAATGCGCACTCTTAAGTGCTGCTTTAAGGAACCTAATACTACACACACACACACACACACACACACACACACACACACACACATCTGTATAATGCCGCAAACCCAGCACAGCCTGCTGCTTGGCCACACGATCCTGCATCAGAAGTTTCTTAACCTTCCCCTGCTGCTGGGCAGTAAGACTGGTGACTACAGCTGAAGACAGGTGTGGCACACTCACCGTCAGGCACACTCAATGCAGGGCATGCTCACCATCGGGCACGCTCACTGCAGGGCACACTCACCATCAGGCATGCTCACTGCAGTGCACACTCACCATCGGGCATGCTCACTGCAGTGCACACTCACCATCGGGTACACTCACTGCAGGACACACTCACCATAAGGCACGCTCACTGCAACACACACTCAGAGTTCCTCTGCCAGTTTCCTGGACAGAGATACAGTCGAGGTATCCAGGAACTTTGAGGCAACCCTGACTCCTCAGTCACCCCCAACCTCCTGATTCAGCTGGTCTGGCTGAGGAGGGACCTAGCACAAGACTTCAAATCCTCTCCTTGATTCTACGGATAGGCAGTGGACAAATGGCCTGGGGAGTAGTGTCCTGTTCCATCATTTGTTGGCTCTGAGACCACTCTCAGTGTCCTTCAGCTGTCCTTCAGCTATACAATGTCCTTCAGCTGCCATTTCCAACTCCTCAATAATTCTCTTTTTTCCATTCACTTCTCCAACCACATGGTGGGACCTAGAGACAATTTTTACCTGTCTGCCCCATCACAGGCCTGGCATAGGATGGATATACAGAGACCTGGATATTGAAAGGGGGAGATTAATTAAAGGCTTATAACCTTCTTTCTGTCTAGTAAATCCTTTGGATTTATAAGGATTCCATCTGACTCATTTTATTCCTCTCATCTGTAAAGTGGGATGCTTTTGGTCTAGAATTATGTGAACAGCCCTGAGATGGGGCCTAAGCACCCAGTGTCACCTTGTCAAGAGACAATGCTGAGGGTAGGCGTCCTCATTCTCTCCCGAAACATCACCTACTGATAAGGAACGACCCCAGGAAACAGGACAGGTGTGACAGTGAAGTAGGTCTCTGAGCACAGCCGTTTGGCCAACAGTAGTAGGTTTTGATTTCTCTCTTGCCAGCGCTGGCCACTTGCCACAGCGAGGGAGGCTACAGTCCAACCAGAGAGCCCTGCTGACTGGCCTCTGCCCTGGCTAGAGGCAGGCCTAGCCAACAGCCAGAAGCCTCAGATTCTGAGTGCAGAGTTTCTCTTCCGTACTGAGATGGGGCTCTCACTTGGGCAAGTTTCTGTTGCACTTGCTCTTTCTCTTTCCACCTCTGCTACGCAGCGGGCCCCTCCTCTGCAGCACGTGGGTCCTCTAGACGCAGGGCATTGGTTCAGACCCCTCAATCCCATCCTATGGTCCCTACCTGTCTCTGTGGTCTCAAGATCTTCCTGCAAGACCCCCTCCCCGTGCTGACAGCAGCAACACCCAGCAGCCTCCTACCCTCTGTGTCTCTCTCTGTGTCCTCCTAGCCCACCAGACCCTCAAAGCTTTAAGTGGGTGACTCACCTTTAGACCCAGCACTTTGCTGAGAGCCTGGCAGACACTGGGCACTTCATAGACAAAGGACATATGGACATAAATGAAAGCTTCACCTCACTCAAAATTAACAAAAACAACAACAAAAACTATTATTTAATAGCTTGGCTTTTGAAAACATAATCTGAAGTTTTGGACCCAGAGGCAAACTTAAAAGCAGTGTCTTTTAAAATTCTCTAGGAAGCAGTTAGCACAGACAAGGCTGTTCTTTACTAAAGAAAGCTTTTCCTCTGTACTTCTGAATTATTTCTGCCAGTAATTTAATCAATACTATGGATTCATTTAGGATAAATCGGGATAAGGAATATTTCCACCTTGGTCTTTGAGCTTGCGCAGGAGTTAGATGGCTTTCAGAGGCTTCCTCTCTTAGGAGTGCACACATATGAGGCGGTCTCCTTCAAAAGGCCACTTGTAATGTTTGAGGGTAAGGCACAGCTCAGGGTGGTGACAGCCTCAGGGGCAGTAAGCATGTCCAATGTCCTGGGTACCCCCACCTGTCTCCAGAGCCCAGGACACTTCCTATTGCGTGAAACTGAAACTGTCCCCAGCCCACACTCACCCATCCCCCGCCGCCTTTCCCTGTCGCCATCCGACTTTCTGTCTCTGACTGTGGTGGTGCTGGGGATCTCATGATGGAAACTTACAACATGTGTCCTTTGTGACTGGATTCTTCCGCCTGCACAGCGTTCTCAAGCTCCATCCGTCAGAATTTCCTTCCTTTTAAGATGAAATGATGCTCCACTGCATAGTCAGCGTGCATTCGGCCACATTCACCCTCTGATGGGAACTGGAGCAGCTTCCATCTTCTGTCACTTGAGGCTAACGCTGCCGTGAACGTGAGCACACATGTATCTGGTTAGATCTTGCTCCGCGTTTGTTCAGGTGTGCAGCTGGGCTCAGTGATCCTCTGGCTATGTAGTCACTCAGTTTTTAATTTTTCAAGGGCTCTCCACATGGTTTCCCACAGGGACTGACCCACAAGCAGTGCACAAGGGCTTCAATTTCTCTGCATCTTTCCTGACACTTGTTATTTTCATTTATTTTCTAGTTTCCATCCTAGGGGGTCTAAAGAAGTTCTTTCTTGAGAGTCACAAGACATTTAATGTCTTCAGAGGCTAAGAAGAAAGCCCTACACTTAGATCCTGGGTACACCACTGGGCTAACATTGACTATTATTTACCTACTTTCTAGTTTCCTGTATTAGCCCACTAGGTAGGTGTAACAAAATACCTTAGATTGGAGGACTCACCAGCACAAATTGACTGCTCACAGTTCTGGAGAAGCCAAGGTGCTGGAAAATTTGGTGTCTAGCAAGGGCGGTTGACTGCTTCAGAGATGGAGTCTTGTTGCTGGGTCCTCCAACGCAGAAGGGGTCAGGGTGCTCCCCAAATCTCTTTGTCAAGGGCACTGATCTCACATGTGATGGCAGAGCCCTCATTGCCCTGTCATGTCTCCCCAGACACACCTCTTAGCACTCTCTTGCTGGGTACTAGGTTCCAACACAGGTTTGGGGAGGAGGAGACTCACCTTCAGACTGCAGCACCATTGTTCTCCTTACTGCCTTTGCTTTGGCCTGTTTCCACTTACCTATATTTTGATTTCTCTGATATCCAGTTATGCACTGGTAAACTTACCCTCTGAGGAAAAAAAAGCAGAGCAAATTTTGATTTGCAGCACTTGCTAATTTACATGGTGTACATACTTCCCACCAGGGCTGATTTTAAACTACTGGCTGTTTTCAGAACTGGCTTGCCAAGCTCCTGAGCACACATGGCTGGCTCTCTCGAATGCTGTGTCCTCACTTCTTTGCAGCCTGACCCTCAGTTCCTGAAAATGACAAGTATCTTGCTCTCTCCCTGGTGTCTCCATGTAGACAAGT